TTTTCCACCCTGGCAAACATCTGAAAAGCAAGATATAATCTGAACTCTGTCTGATGAGCTGTCTTTTAAAAAGATCATGCGCACAGACGCCTTCCATCTTTTCTCTTTTGCTTTCGCTTTGCATGTAATTGTGTGTTTTGACCTCAATCAGAATATTTTCCACATCACAACTGTATTTCAAGTCTTGCATTATCAAAAACCGCTCAGACTCTTTCTTTTCCCCTCGTCTGCGGAGGATGGACAAACTTCTGAGCGAGCAGAATCTGTTGCGTCCTCTCTTCGTAGGTATTGCTGATGCTAAGTGCTTTGTGGTTAAATGCATCAGCTTCTAATCCTGCTTAAATCAGCACCATTTCTTAATTCATATAGATAAGCAGAGCATTTATGGGCCTTAACAGCCCAGACTAATTACTATTCCTTAGATAAGTGCTCGTCCGACTAAATTCTCTTGACCTTCCGTTTCTACTCAAAGGAGCAGATAGACGTTTGCCTTCTATCCTCACATGCAGCTTTAGAAAAAGTGTGATGGGCATTAACTTCCTTTTTTTTTTAACATGTACTTGAATATTCAACACGTCAACACTCAAATTATGCTCTATTTTCATATTCCTAATTTCTTAATTGGCCATAATTGCTTAATTACAAATTCAAATGAACAAATCTGGAGGTCAGAGATGCATGCTAATTGAACAATCAATCAGCGTTAAACTAGCGGAGTATTGTCCACCTTTGATTGACAGCACATTAGGACTGTGTGATTGGCTGTCTGTTTGTTGACATTGAGAGCTGTAGATGGGAACTGTACTTTTCTGTCATGGACGTCCTTGATATTGCTTAAGGAAAGTCGGCAGTTCAGGACAGATATAATTTTCACCTTGAAAGATGATATTTTAATACCACAGGAACTCTTGAGTCATTTCCTATTATGCTGTACATATCCCTGTAATATATATATATATATATATTTAGTCAGCCAGTGATTTTGCAAGTTCTCCTACTTAGAATGATGAGAGAGGTCTGTAATTTTCATCATAGGTACACTTCAACTATGAGAGAGAAAATCAGAAAAAAAATTCAGGAAATCACATTGTAGGATTTTTAAAGAACTTATTTGTAAATTATGGTGGAAAATAAGTATTTGGTCAATAACAAACACTGAAAAGAATGCAGCTGAATCCAAATTCGCCCCCAAAACCTCAATCACTTTTCCCTACGTTAGTCCACTAATACACAAAAACGAGTGAGCGAATTCGGACAGCCGTTGAGCCGTTGAATTCAAGTGAAATAACTCAATATCATCCACTATGGTTTGGGACACCACTACAAATGGCTGTCCTCTCAAATAACGCCCTATTAGAGGGTATGGGGGGCGATTTCGGATTAAGCCTGCAACTTAAATATAAAGCAAAGAAAATAGTAACGTGTCTAAAAGTTTTGCACAGTATTGTATGTATTCATTACTGTACAGTACTGTGTGTGTGTGTGTGTGTATACATACACTCACCTAAAGGATCATTAGGAACACCTGTTCAATTTCTCATTAATGCAATTATCTAATCATCCAATCACATGGCAGTTGCTTCAATGCATTAGAGACATAAGAATTTGGCATAAACAGAATGAGAACATGGATCTATCATGCCTTGTTACCACTGTGCAGGCTGGTGGTGGTGGTGGTGTAACTGTGTGGGAGATGTTTTCTTGGTGCACTTTAGGCCCCTTAGTGCCAATTGGGCATCGTTTAAATGCCACGGCATACTTGAGCATTGTTTCTGGCCATGTCCATCCCTTTATGGCCACCATGTACCCATCCTCTGATGGCTACTCCCAGCAGGATAATGCCCCACAGTCACCAGATCTCAACCCAATAGAGCATCTTTGGGATAGGGTGGAACGAGAGCTTCTCGCCCTGGATGTGCATCCCACAAATCTCCATCAACTGCAAGATGCTATCCTATCAATATGGGCCAACATTTCTAAAGAATGCTTTCAGCACCTTGTTGAATCAATGCCATGTAGAATTAAGGCAGTTCTGAGGGCGAAAGGGGGTCAAACACAAGTATTGAGTGTATATATATATATATACACATACATTGATCACAGTTACAGGACATGCTAACCTTTGTTAAATGTTGCATAAAAAATTAATAATTCTAACACCAACAATAATTATTCTTTATAATATAATAATATAATTCTTTATAATAGTTTTTTTCTGTTTAAAAAACAACTTTCAATGATACATTTAATACTACTATTTTTTAAAATAACTAGTAAAGTAACGTATTACATCTAAATTTACAACAAAGTATCTGAGATACTTTTCATTTAAGTAACACAAGTTACTTTGTTTTCTTCTCCTGAGTCCTGACACCTCTCCTGTACCCATATTGAGATAAATCGGGAGTAAGTGCAGAGGCGCTATATAAAAAAAGATGAAACGCAAACTCAATATTACGCAAACCTGTAAAAATTAAACATTTTAAAATACACAAATATACTTGTTGTTATGTATTTAATCTCTTTTATTTTTTATATTTTAAGTTTACATTACTCAATTTTATTACTATTTGGTTTTGTTTTTTAATTATTTCTATAATTGAATGAAGTTATTTTCTTCCAGAAATTTGAACAAACAAAATCCTTAATGACAACATCGTTAGAGAGTTTAAAAGGTACTACATAAGATGAATCACCCAGGTATTACAGTCTTCTTTTTTTATTTCACTTCACTTCTATATCTTTCATGAGCTCAGCACTATGACAGATGGCACCTGGTCCCAGATCAGTGAGGAAAGGTTACTTCTTACCCGGAGGTAGAGAACAGCTCTTGCAGAATAGAGCAGCAGCCATTTCATTTCCACTCTTAATTATGCTGTTAACGGTGCAAAATGAGCAAACGGACCTTGCTGAAGGAACACAGCACTTCATGCATACAGTCCCATTACACAGAGTGTGGTCTTAAGCATCTCTTTGAGCAAGAGAAAAGGTCACAAATGTGTTTCAACGTGTATGCATGAGTAAAGTCAGTGGCCCCACCCTGACTTTGTAATGCACAGCGAGTATGTGGGTGATTAGACAGTTACCCGCCTCAATTGCACACTGGGAAACCCAGCTGATGGAGCTACCTTAACGGTGACCAGTGCCTCTCTCTCTCTCTCTCTCGTTTTCCCTCCTCCTTTTTTTGTCTATGTGTTGTTTCTCCCTCTTCCTTGCGGGCTCCATCCATCAGACTGGCATGCGTGCAGCCGCCCCACTCTCAGCCACCATATTTCACCGCCTGCCATCAGAGGCCTGACAGCCCTGCGCTCACTAGGAAATTGCTTTGGCTGTGAGCGGAATTTCAAGCACCGGGTGCTGCCCGATATCTCCCCCCACTCTCTCTCTCTCTCTCTCTCTCTACCTCTCGGTCTTTGACTCCTGATGTTTCTCTTTCTCTCTCGCTTGCTCTTCCTTCCTTTTGCTTTACCTCCCTCTCCCCACAACCCGCGGGATTCGAGGTGCGCTTCGGAATGTGTAATGAAGAAAGAAAAGGTTTGGTGTAGATGGAGAGAGCGCGGGAGGGGGTCAAAGGGTAGAGGAGTGGGCCCTGTTATGCCTGCATCAGATGTTTACAATGTACACAACGGATCGAGAGAGATAGGCAGCCTCAAACAAAATGGCCATTACTTTGTTGCCGTATAGATACGCGTAGCAGGATGCTCCTTTTGACGCCTTGTCACCGAAGTGCTGTGACTCACTCTGTCTCTCTCTCGACCCACACACTATAACACACACACACCGACGAGGCGCATCAAACGGCAGCCCTCCTCGTGGCGACACCTCATTCTGCTCGACGGCGTGATCCTCTCTCGACACAAAACCACAAACAAGTGTCTCTCTCATCATCTTGCCAAGCGCTGGCTTAATGATGTGGCAGCCATGATGGAGCGTCAGTTTCCTGCACTGCAGTGCTGTTATACAGTAACTGAGAGAACACAGAGCCAAAATGGCGCGTGGGTGGATGGAGAGGAGGTGTGTCTGAAGGATTGTCCTCTTTTTGAGGATGTAAACACTTCATATGTCTGTTTATTCTGTTTTCATGGTAGAATAGTTACGTTTTCAGTCTTCTTGGTTGAGATGTTTGTTTCTGGTGTCACTTTGCCATTTGTTTCTGAATTGAATTTCTGCTCCGAGTTTAGGTTTTTTTTTTTTTTTTTTGTTTTTTTGCTGACAAATAATTTTGTATGTGTTTCCCGGTCCATATTAATCATTTATTCTGCATTAAACGGTTAGGTAGTGAGGCATGCCTGCTTCGCTTGCTGACTCAGGAACATGAATTAATCCCTCTAAACTATGGCAGTTGTGACAGCTGTTCTATAAAACACCCAGGAGTGCTGTTGCTCTTTCACAGGACTGTGATGAATAATGCTGCACTTATTTTTGCACACATCATAGTTTGATAGTTTAATATTTAAGATGTTTGCTTGCTCTGTGTTTCTATGGACAGTCAATCTCTCGTTGTCTGTGTTAACTGCAAAAATGAAAACTTACTCACCCTCGTGTCATTCCAAACCTGAATGACTTTCTATCTTCCCTTGTGCACAAAATAAGGATGTTAAACTACCATTACGTACCGTTTGGGAATTTTCTTTTGCTTCTGTCTGCATTTATTTGATCAAAAATACAGTAAAGAACTGTAATCTTGTGAAATATTATTACAATCTTAAATAAATGTTTTCTATTTTTATATATTTTAAAATATATCAGGTATATAGATAGTATTTATTTGCAACAAAGTCTCACTGACCCCAAACTTTTGAACTGTAGTGTATATTGTGAATATGAATGTACATATGAATTTGCCTTGTAAAAAAAAATGACTTCTTTGTGTAAAGATTATTTCTCTTTTGTTGAAGTTGAAGTTGAGTTTTATTGTTCACAGTGTGTTTGTCTGCCTGTTCATCTTTCCACCTGTCTGTCAGTGGAAATCATTTGGCCTCTCTCTGTCTGATTTACAGAAAGTGAGTTTGGATTTCTACATTGACGTGCACGCCCACTCCACCATGATGAATGGCTTCATGTATGGTAACGTCTTTGAGGAAGAGGATAGAGTGCAGAGGCAGGCCGTCTTTCCTCGACTCTTATGCCAAAACGCGCCTGACTTCTCTCTTGTGAGTCTCATGGGTATTACCTTTTTTTCCTTTAAAACACAAAGGCCCCTTAAACTGCTGTATGGTTGTTGTTTTCTTCTTTTTAGTTTAAGTAATATTTACAACTATTTTATTTTTGTCCTTTTTGCTGCTTGGATGTATTTACATACAGTATGTTTACATGTTGCCTGGATAAGCATCTTGTCTTAAAGCATTAGGTCACTCTAAAAATATGTCATCATTTACCCTCGCGTTGTTTTAAACCTGTGTGACTATCTTTCTTCTGTGAAACACATAAGGTTGCAACGTTCAAAGTCAATGGCTCACAATGTTGTTTTCAACTCCGTCATTCTTTAAAATATAACCTTTGGTGTTCCACAGAACTTCGAAAATCAGACAAGTTTTGAATTGCAAGAGTATAAAATATTTGGGTGAACTGTCCCTTTAACGTGTTGAAGTTGAAGCATATGCAGTGTAAACTGCTAGGCCGTGGCTTCGACAGATTTAAGGGCCTTTCTTACTGACCTTGTTAAGCAACATGAATGTACGTCGCAATGCCATTTGTGAATCAAAATAATAGATCCCTATGGAGCTATTCACAGTGGGCGCGATCAATCTCAATGTGACAAAACGCAAAAAAAGAAAAAAAAATTCAACCAGGGTGTCGATTTCTTTTTTCACGTTGTTCTGCGATGAAACAAGCCATCCATTTAGATTTAAAGGTGCAAAACGCAAGTCTCTGAGTTTTTGCAGAACTACGCCCCCTCTGGCGACAAGCGAAACTGCAACCAGAGGTGTGCACGCTCATGGATCACACACACGCACGTTTGCACAAGCAGTTCATAACCAAAGGAGCATCAGCCGCACACATCTTTTGTTACAGTCATAATGAGGTAATAAAGTTATAAATCTGCAAGTCATTTAAAATATATGAAAGGAAAGGCATTTGAGTAAATTACACACTTATGTGTTTGTGTGAGGGGGAAACAGGGGTTAGTAGAAAACTGTGTTTTTTGTTTCCATCTATCTCCATGTTGAACTGTTTATGCGCTTACTGTATCCACTTATGATTGTCTCATTATGGAAACACGTTCATGAACAATATAAGTTATTACTTTGTATAGGATCCCGTTTGAGCCCTAGAGCAGACCGGAGATCTCTCCATTTGTTGAAAGCCTTTCCGATGATGACTCTCGTCTTATTCCGACGCCTGGCACTAGACAGAAGTTTTATTTTCTTTGTCTCACATGGAGTTTGCGTTGGGGTTCGAAATGAACTACAAGCCGGTCTCTTTGAAACAATCTTCTACTTTTGTCGAAAGTTGACTAAAGTTGTGTCGCTCGAGTTGTCTTCTCTGATATGGAAAATGGCGGCGAATACACAAACCTGGCAGACATAGCCAGGCGAACGTGAACGCGCATGACGTCAGTCTCAATTTCGAGCCCGAATCCCTCTTATTTATTTTACTGTACAGGATTATAGAGGCAATCGCAGGGATCAGAGAAGAGCTCATTCAGCCCATCAGGCAATTGTTTAAGCATGTATGGGTTAGAAAAACGGCTATTTTTAACATGAAATGTTGCATAATGTACCTTTAAGCTTACGCAAGCCAAGTGGTAGAGCTGTTTTGGAAACCTGTCTAAACACCGCACAACTATAAAGAATGAGAAATCCTTACATGAGAAATGCTAAGCAGGTGTAGTTTTCAGTTTATGATAAAACACTACAAGTCTTCCCTTTATTTTATCAAAATCCACTTTAGATCGCAGTCTGAAGTTATTACACGCACTCGATGATGGTTTTTGTGTAGTACAAACTTTATTTATCTTAATTTACTGTTGTGCAGCGGACAACGTTAATGCCAAATGGGAAAACCTACGAGATGCATACATGAGGAACAATGTATTCTCGGTCAGCGCCACCTATCGTGCAGCCTTGAATCAATCTTTTCGCGTTCAGTGTGAAAGCTCCGTTCCTTGGGCGATTCGCTTGCCTTTATCATGTCACGCTCAGTGTGAAAGGTTCTTAACTCTCATTTCTGAAAAATACTGTGAAACATCTCGTAAATTGTTAATATGTTACTATTGCGTTATGTGTGACTGTATGTAGGATACAAAATTAGGAATGGCAGCGTAATGTTGCGCATACCATTAAAGTTTCTCTCTGCCATTACACTGATAGGTTCATTTTTTTCTTCAGCAAAAGAAAATCATTGGCTGAATTTCATCTCCGTCAGCCTTTTCACTCTTAGCTCTATACTCATTAGCAAACGCCGCATGGAAAAACGTTATTGGTATTTTCTCCAAAAATTCAATACACCCCATAAATTAGTACATTTTTTTGTTTCCAAGATGAAGCGCATCAACACAAGCTATTTTTCCAGGTGCCGGCAAGTAACCTTTTCAATTCGGCAGAGCAAGACAATAACCAGACTCAATATTGCTGATGAGGTGTCTATATGAAAGGAGCAGAGCCACTTTAACCATTTGCCACGGTGAAGCTCTTTTGGATGAGCCGGGAACCGCATGCTGATGAAGACACGGTTATATGTACGTCTGAAAACCATCCGTGCACCCAGTGCCTTCATAACACAGAGCTGGAGAGATATTATTGCGTCTGCTCATCGGCGCACACCGAATCCTCTATATCTCAACCCCTTCTCATTTTTCACTTGACAGCTATATTAATTGGTAATTTCCACACAGTTTCCAATGTCAAAATGGGATAGCATGAATCAAGAAGATTGGTTGTTCTTTATTTGCTTTGTTTGTTTACAAATTTACTTCTGGTTTATTTTTCGTCTGTATTCAGAGGTATCGTTTGGATGGATGTGTCTTCCAGCTCATTGCACCCCTTCCACTCTTTCACCATTCTTCTTTCTTGTTCCTCTTTTCATTTGGTACCTTTATAGTTTCCAGAGGATCTCATCATTATGATTGTGATGTTTTGATTAAGATAGATGGTTGCAAAAAAAGTAAATAAATGATAGTAGCTTGATAGATAAACTTTTGGATGATTGGTAATGGATAAATTAATGAATGGATGGTTTCAAATGGATAAATAATATGGATGGATATAAAATGGATAGAATGATGAACAGATTGACTGATCATTTAATAGATTGATAAATTCAGATATTGAAGGATTGATTGATCATGGATAGATACATGTATGTTTGTTTTATAGTTGGATGGATTGATTGACCTCGATATACTCACGGCAAAGGTGTTTACCAGCCAGAGCGAAGTTTTCCAGAAAGTTCGCTTTGGCAAGATTTTTCGAACACCCGAAACTTCATTTTGGCTTGATTTTGCTTGAAGTGTATCAGGGCCTTTATAATGTATGGATAAATTAATGGACATATGTATAGATATGTAGATGGATAGGTTGGTGGACAGAGAGATGGATGGAAACATGGGTAGATAGATGTGTCAATGGGTAAATGGATAGATTGGTAGACAGAAAAACAGACCGATGGATGGATGGAGGGTGGAGTTATGTGTGTGTGTGTGTGTGACCTCAACAGTGTTGTATTTTGCTTACCTACAGTTTTACACCAGTGATGGTCCCATTGTGGAGGTCCCCTCTCCCCTCCCTGCGGCCCCTTATGCTCGGTGTCGCTCTCTTTGTCAGCATGCAGTTCCTCCAGCCTGCAACAGTGACCTTCAGCATGCAGGAAGTGTGACATTTCAGTAGCTCAGCCAGCAGAATACGGGCAGAGGACTAACCTTTATTGCCCAGTCACCCATCTAGAATTTGCAGACTTCTCTCATACTTACACAAAGAGCCGCTTTTCACAGCCTATGAATATTCCCTGCCTCACAGAAAAAATGTCACCACATTATTTATGATTCTTTATAAATGCTGTTTGCGGTTTCTCTGTGTGTATATGTGTGAGAGAGAGAGTGAGTGAGTGAGTGTTTGCGTGTTCAGTTTAAGGTTAAGCTCTGTTTTTGTGCATCTAATACATTATGTGTTTTGAAGCTAAGCTTTTTTTTATGCATTTGTTTTGTGTGTGTGTATGTGTGGTGACAGGAGGGCATAAAGGGCAGGTCTCCAGCTGGCATGTTGCCCTCTCTCTCTCTGCCTATTCAGCACACAGCCATCCCAAAGTTCATCCGGCATATTGAGGGAGCGCTGCCTCTGGAGAGAGTCATGTCTCAACTGTGCTTAGCCACCAGCTACACGTCACACTGACACTAGATCAGTCACCTTTCTTGGGCAAAAGCAAACATTTGCCAGCCATTATAGCTGAGCCATGGAAAGGCACTGAAAGTGCAGTGTAAGCAAGCACAACTGCAGGAAAAGTGGAGAGCAAGGAAAAGTTGCCAGCAAACTTAAGTACTTTTGTAATGGACAAAGTGGCATAAATTATCAAGCCAATCCTATGCGATCCATAATTAGTTTCCTAAATCCAATCAATAGCTTCCTCCTTGTGGCAACTCTGAGCCCTACTAAAAGTGGCTTTTCAGGCTAATATTGTGCTATTTTTATTTTTTTGTCATTCTCCAAAAGCTGCTCATATCTTATGAGTGTGCATTTGGGGTGGTCTAATGAAATAAGAAGGTCCCTTTATTGGTTTTGGGTTTTTTAGTGCAGTGTAACACCAGAGATGGGACCATCAACACACAAACACTAATTTTCAATTCATTATTCTTTTATATTCTTTTATATTATTTTTATATCATGTTTATTCATATTTTTTTATTAAATAAATAGATTTAATAAAGTTATTCATTAATTTATTGATTGATTCCACTGTGTTCTTGCTAACATAGCCTTTGATTCTGAAATAGTTGGACAGTTATTTAATAAATAATGCAATATAATACAACTTACTAATTGTCAAATCAAAGTCATATTCAAGTTTAGTCTGGGTTTCCCTGGGTGATTTTATTCATGCTGCTAGGCAGCCTGGACACCATGAACCAAATTTTCGCCTGAGATAGGGAACTAATCACAGAACAGGGAGGGAGCAGCAAGACGATAATGCGACACACCAAAGCAGTTTATTCATATCTATGGATCCATCTTGGCAGCGGACGCAAAGTTACCTTTTGTGTATACACACCCCTTCTTGTCTAATTTTCTGTCGCTCTACATACGTAATCTGTTATCATTGAACCGATTGACTATGAGCTACATACAGGCGCATAGACATTCGTAGCACCCCATAATACGGCTCTGGGCATTCCTAAACCTTATTCCTCAAATACGAGAAAATGAACGTGGTTTCAGACCACATCTCATTCTCAATGATACTTGGTCTGGCATTAGCCAGGCTAATTCATGTCAATCAAAGCATTTTAACTGTTTTTACATATGACATATATAATAACTATATACAAAAATAGTATAGCAAGCATATTTGTGCTTTTATTTGTAAATACGAACTGTTGTTCATGTATTATTTAGTCACCTTCTTTTTGGACCATTAGTCAACAAATCCTCAGTAAACACAGCAGGTGTCATAATCATTGCAGGTAGGGAGGAGATGCCCTTTTAATTTAACTGAGCTGAGTGCTCACTAAAAAAACGCTCACTCACACTTTTTTTTTTCCCCCAAGCAATTTCAAGTTCATTTATATTCAAACGAGATCAAACGTGGTGATTTCTGAGTAGGCGAGTTGTTTACTCCATCCATTTCCACTAATTTGACCCATTCACTCAGATAGGCGGGCATTGTAAGAGTTATCAGCCAATCACAGCGATGTTTTCATGGTTTCCCCACTCAAAAACAAGCTCAAAGTAAGTGGTATTGTTCTTCTCTTTTCTCTGCTTTACCATTATTAATCATTATGTTGTGTTATCTGTGTATCTCTGTGCAGTCCAATACAACATTTAACCGTGACCTGGTCAAGGCTGGCACCGGCCGACGCTTCTTGGGTGGTCTGTTGGACGACACGTCGTACTGCTACACCCTGGAGGTCTCCTTCTACAGCTACCTGACAGCAGGAACCACCTCACCTGTGCCGTACACTGAGGATGGCTGTATCCTTTCAGTCCTTCTTCAGCTCATAATATAACTCTACAATGTATGTGTGTGTGTATATATATATATGTATACGTGTTTAATTCAATGTGTTACTTGAAATTTAATAGCAATTTCTGAGTAAAAATAGTTTCAAAGTAAATCGTACACCATTTTTTTAGTGTACTATTCAAAAAATGTATGCTTTCAAATTATTGATTGATTGTAAAGATATAATATTTTGAAATACGGTTCTTTTAAACTTACTATTAATTAAAGAATCATAAAAAGGATCATGGTTTTCATGATCATAGTAAGCAGCACAACTGTTTTCATCATTGATTATAAGAAACGTTTCTTGAACGAGGTTTGCTATCTTTCACGTCACATCTCAAAATAGTCACTGGTGAAGGATTTGGGACAGTGTGCATTGAGATGAATGGGAACTAGTCTAACGAGATAGTTTTCTCCAGTTTTTATAGACTTTGCACACTTCTTTTTCTCTCTGTTCTCTTTGGGTATCTCTGACCCTGAAACCTGCTGTCTGAAAGATAAAATGAACAGATGAAGGGCGAACTTCTCATTTTGTTTCGCCTCTCCATATATGTTCTGTTTCATAGTGAACTGATGAAGTTCTGGGTCTTTAGATACAGGAACCACAGGTAATTTTATTGACTGGGAGGTATTGAAGAGGAACTGGTTGACTGGTTGATCCTGTTGATTATAAGTGGTTTGTGAGCTGGTTTGTTCAGTGACAAGCAAACACCTCGGTCACTGTATCTTTCCTAAAGATTCTTGCTTCAACTAGAGCGATCAAGAACTCCACTTTCATTGAATTTTCCCCGTTCATGAGGAACATATGGCTGGTGTAAAGACCCGATTTTCTCGAATCGATGCTGCAGTTCCATAGACGAAAGTCAATGACTTGTGCTGCTGTCTTACTTTCTGAAATTATCTCTCCAATGTTGGTGCACCGAGTGACATACTGGGTGGTGTCGTGGTTCAATAATGAAGGCTCGGGTGATTATGTCACACTATTGAAGCTTGGCTCTCTTCCCTGCATTTAAGCTTCATGCCGGTCGTACAACTCCATCCCCTTATTTACCGGGAGCAATGCTTACTCATTGATCTCTTAATTATTCTGGGAATCATTATCAGAGAGCGAGGCTTTGACCTGACTGGCTGTTAGACACACGAGAGACGTTGACTGGCCAAGTCGTGTCGATGGGTATGGGCGGGGTGTGAGCGTGTCCATGTGAGTACCTGTGTGTTCATAAGAACATAATGCTTATTTTTCAGTATGAAAATAAGGCCAATTTCATCAACAATCAGGGTAATTTCTAAGGGTTAAGGTTTACCCTACTTAAAAACCTACCTCCAAGCAAACCACTACAATCCGTTTTTTGATTTTAGTACCAGGTGGACTTTTTTTTCCTTTAATTGGAACACACTTTACCAATGCTCAGGCAACCACCAAGAATACCCTACAGTGCCTAGCAACCCATAGTAACTTCAATAGAAACCACCCAGAACATCTTGGCAACTGCCTAGCAATCATTCTGAATACCATAGCAACCACCCTGAATACCTTATCAATTGCTTAGCAACTCTCTAGCAACCACCCATACCACCTTAGGAAACAACTAGCAATACCCAAGTAACCACCCAGAATACCCCAGCAACTGCATACCAAGCATAACAACCAATGCCTAAGAAACCACCAAGAATACCCCAGCAACTGCATAGCAATCACCCCGAACACATTAACATCCAATGCCTAAGAAACCACCAAGAATGCCCTAGCAACACCCTAGCAACCACCCAGAATACCCCTGCAACTGCATAGCAATCATCCAGAAAAACTTAACAACCAGTGTCTAAGAAACCACCAATAACTCCTTAGCAACACCCTAGCAACCACCCAGAATACCCTAGCAACCTCTTAGTAGCTGCTTGGTAGCAACTAAGCAGCTAGCAACTGCACAGCAACCAGCACTGACCAGATGAAGGAATAATATTTAATGAGTACTTTCAACGAATGATTAGCGAAGGATTTACAGCTGACTTAATAACAGAGGCTTAGATAATAACAGGGGCTAAGATGAAAGACCCTAAATAGCCATGCCTTTTTTTTTTTTTTTTTTAAGATAATACTGTCTGCAGCGATACAGAACCATAGAGCTTTTGGGAAATGGTGGGTGATTTTTCAGGGTGTTCTGTGCAGATTAATATCCGAATCTGAGGTTGAAAGTTGCTCTATATGAAGGAGTGAATTCCATGACGAAAAGGTCTCTTTGTGCAAACCCGAGATGTGTGTAGCTTAAGTGCCCTCTAGTGATAGGAAAAGGGTTCCCTGAACTTTACTATGAGCATGTGTGTGTGTGTGTGTGTGTGTGTGTGCGAGCGTGCGGTCATATGTGTGAGCATTTCACCCTTGTATCACTCTGTTATGCACCCAGCTGCTAGACGGTCATATTTACAGGCCTCTCTTGCATGAATTTATTTATTTGTTGGGTGTTTATCTCAGAGCGAGCAGTAAAGCTGCTGACTGATGCCTCATCGCTTTCACTGTTCCTCTCCGCTCGCCTCCTGCCTCGCTGGGCTGTCATCTCCAAGGCCCAGCCGCTCTAGTCGCGGTAATAAGAAACCCATCCATGTAGAATTACTCCACAGCCGTGCAGATTATTTTCCCTTAGTGACAGAGAAAAGATAGAAACAACAAAAAAAGGCAATTTACAGCTTGCTGGAAAGAGTCATAACTTACCTGTGAGGCCTCTCTCCTTGAAACAGCATTTTTTTTTTACCCATCACTTAAAACATCTGTGCCGTGAAGTAGCGACAGGTGAAAGCTGATTGTGGGCTGTGCTGTTTATTACCTAGGTGTGTGCAAAACACAAGCTAACAAAAAGGAACCTGCCACTCTGGACGGGAAGAATTGTAGGATACGTTTGGTACAAACCTGGAACCGTTTGCATGTTTTAGTGGGAGATAAATTTGCACACTCTTTGTCGTACACATCTGGGCATTTGTGAGCCTTTAAGTGAGAACCACTTTAAATGTTGTTCTCACAAGTCAGTTTTCGACTTGTTTCAGTAGAATGACAGTATCTTAAACTTGTCAGGAGTTTAAGGAGTAGTTTAAGGAGTTTTAAGGAGTAGAAAGTTTAAAGGAGTAGTTCACCCCCCATCCCCCCCCCCACGACTTTCTTTCTTCAGTCGAAAAGAAATTAAGGTTTTTGATGAAAACATTCCAGGATTTTCTCCATATAATGGACTTCAATGAAAACCAAACGGTTCAAGGTCCAAATGAGAGTTTCAGTGCAGCTTCAACGGGCTTTAAACGACACCAGACGATGAATAATGGTCTTATCTAGCGAAACAATCGCTCAATTAAAAAATAAATAAAAACGTTTAAGTTTTATAAGCACAAATGCTCGCCTTGCTCTGTTCTGTGATGAGCGTTCATGACTCTCCTGTTCGAACTCGTTCATCAAAATGAACAAATCTTTTTTCCTAGTCATGACTCGAAGTGTCCTAGATAAGACCCTTATTCATCGTCTGGTGTCGTTTAAAGCACTTTGAAGCTGCACTGAAACTCTCATTTGGACCTTGAACCGTTTGGTTCCCAATTAAAAGTCCTTGGCATTAAAAAGTTTGAAACCTCCATGGTTTAAGATGTTAGTCTAGACTCGAATGGATTTTAGAGGCCAAACAATCGAGGAAAAACTGTACATGGTGTGACTTTTAAAAGGTTATTACGTTGTAGAACTGGGAGAGGGTGTGTGTTAGTTTGTGTGTGGGGCACGTGAGGGTTGAGGGTGTCTGCCTTCAGTAGTGGAAGGGTATTTGCCGTGGCATGTAGTGCAAAGATTGGGGGCAAAGAGGTTACCAGAATGTGACATGCCACTTTTTACAGGCCGGTTGGCAGGTCTATGGAGCGTGCAAATTATCAGCAGAGACCTTTACAGACATGACTTCACTCCCCGGTAAAAACCAAAACAATGACAACATTATAATTACCTGCAAAGGAATTAATTCACCTTTCCTAACCCCACTAAACAAACACGCACTCATACACACATGCATAATGTACTCCTAATGTCGACAATGGCACCACCTGGATAGAGATCTCGCCATGTATAATGCTGCATTCATCACCAAAGACATTGAAAGATCCTTCAGTCAAATGGCTCAATTTCTCACATTTTTTGCTTCACCTTTTTCTCATTATAGAATACTGAGCATATCGGGAATATCGAGCAGCGGCACAGAGGGAATAATTTAGCACATTTAACGATTTAACATTTACCACCTGTAATGTCGGGCGAAACTGAAGAAATTTATGATGGATGCCCGACTCGGTCGCTGTTAACCTGTAAGCGATTTTTTTTATCATCGTCACAGCATCCCCCAGGCGTTATAAGCTGGTTAATGCCTGTGGCGGCAAGGTGCCTCTGTAAGAAACTGCTGCAGGTGGTTACGACTTCTTATGAATTTAGATTGACAGCATAGAGAGTGGTTTGAAATGACCTTTTAGTAAGACAAGCCCTGAGTGAATATTTGTACATCAGCTATAGCTCTATAAGGTCTTGTGTATTATCTAAACCAAATTTAATGTGTTCCTTTAAACTCATAATTTACTTGAATAGGCCTACCTTAAATAGGAAATAGGATTTTACCTATTTTCTGAACTTGTGAAAATACACATCATAAAAATTTGAAACATATATACTTATGTATAACGTAGAATAATATACCTACTTAATATAGTTTGTCTATAATGTGTACATTATTTAATTTATCAATATTTTGTACAAAATATATTTAAAGGGGTTATGAACTGGATTATTTAATAATGTTGCCTGGGGTGCCAGTGGATGATTTTTACATCAAAAATTGTCATAATTTTGAAATAAAAGACATTTTACCTAGACTGATTTTAGCCTCTGATTTGAACGCTCTGTTTGAAGAGGCGTGTCTGCTGTGAGACTGCAGTGTAAACGCCCACTGCTGTGATTGGC